CTAGGCTCTGAGCTGGCAGTCAGCACAGAGCCCGATGCGGGGCTCGAACCCACGAACCGCGAGATCATGACCGAAGCGAAAGTCGGACGCTTAACCGACTAAGCCACCCAGGCACCCCCTTTTTTTTTTTTTAATTTTTTTAATGTTTCCAGCCATCGCGTTTTAAAGGTGAGCAAACTGAGGCCTGAGGAGTTTGCACACAGTAGTCTAACTCCCTGATTCTCCAAAGTCCTGGCTGGGTTTCCACAGCACTGCTCTGTGGGCAGCACTGAGCCAGGCAGGAGTAGACTGGGATTAGGCTCAACACCCAGAAAATGGGCCATAGTGGCATTCAAAACTCTCACTGCAGGTAACCAGAAATTCGATCACCATTTCTTGGGGGTCGGTTGTCAGTAGAGAGCATTTGTTTTATGTGCTTTATCATTATGCAAAAAAAAATCTAAAAACTCTTCGTATAAGCAATTGAACTTCTAAACTGAAGAAAACACCGTGCTTTTTGGTTCCTTTAGCAAGTGTTCCTCCGAACAGACCAACTCCTTCGGACATGGCTATTGTCATGTATACCAGTGGTTCTACCGGCCGGCCCAAGGGAGTGATGATGCACCATAGCAATTTGATAGCTGGAATGACAGGCCAGTGTGAGAGGATTCCTGGGCTGGGGTAAGAGAGAATCATTCCACTTTCTTCGCAATGAGATCTCCTGTTTGACATTGTCCAAACTCCGTCTGTGTAGAAATGAGAAGGCTGTTGATGTCTCTACTTAACCACACCTTTTTCCAGACGGCTGATATGTTTCTCTTGTTTTGTTTTAGACCAAAGGACACATACATTGGCTACTTGCCTTTGGCTCATGTGCTAGAACTGACAGCAGAGATATCCTGCTTTACCTATGGCTGTAGGATTGGATATTCTTCTCCACTTACACTCTCTGACCAGGTGACAAGCCTTTCACTCTTTCCGTGCCATCCTGTTAAGTTGCACTGTTTGGGTGAGACTGTATGACTGAAAATGTGAGACACTTCATTACAGTGGCAGTATTCTCCTCAAGTTCGAAAATAGCCCCCATGGACAAATATGTAGCTGTAGAAAAAAATCTTGTGGATTTGTTAGTGTTGCTTTATCTACATCTCCTTACATGATTTTGAAGCTGACAGTTAACTTTCATTTTGGCTTTATGAGATTTTTAACTCTGGATAGCTCGGGTGGAGAGATAAATGCACCAAGCCTTTTGGATACATTACCCATAAACAGGTAGATTTTCTGGGAGGAGATATGGTGGTAGGATCGTGGTGCAGTTTTGCTCTGAGTTTTCTCTAGTACTGTGCCATCCACAACAGCATGCTGGAGTAGAGATAATTCAAATGAGATGAGAAAAATCTCATTCCTCAGTTGCTTCAGCCACATTTCTTTTTTTTCCTTTTTTAATAAAATTTTTAAATTTACATCCAAGTTAGTTAGCCTGTAGTGCAATAATGATTTCAGGAGTAGATTCCAGTGATTCATTCCCTATGAATGACACCCAGGGCTCATCCCAACAACTGTCTTCCTTAATGCCCCTTGTCCATTTAGCACCCCCCCACAGCCCCTCCAGCACCCCTCAGTTTGTTCTCTGTATTTAAGAGTCTCCTATGTTTTGTCCCCCTCCTCTCCAGCCACATCTCAAGGTCTCAGTAGCTATGTGTCACTAGTAGCTTCAGGTACCAGACCCTTCCATCATCATGGAAAGTTCTATTGCATATCCAAAGGCAGCCCTCAGCTTTGTGCCCAGAGTTCACCTGGGTTCTCCCTCCTCTTTTGTTGTTCACAGCAGGAATCCCAACAATGGCTAGAGCTAACTCGTATTTTAAGTGCATTTGAAATTATACAGCTAATACCTAGTGTCCACAGTTACTTAATTTCTTCTTTGGACTAATTGCTGTAGAAAAACATCAACCAGATGTTGAGGCAAAAAAGAGTTCTGAGTGTAGATAGGAATGGCTTGATTTTAGGGAGAGGTTAGGTAGGTTGTGTGATATTAAGGCAAAAAAGTTAAATGGATGTTTTTGGATTTGAGATTCCAACCATCTTTTTAAAAAATTTGTTCTTGGATATATAACTTAAAGGACATGAATCTTAAATGCACTGTTTGATTGCATTTAATGTACACACACAGACCCCTGTGACCATCCATATCTAGATCAAGGTAAAAAAGAATAGTCCTTGAGCTCCATAATATCCCTTTTGTCCTTTCCGAGTGATGACCACCTGCCCGCAACCTCCCAAGATAATCTGATCACCTCTTGAAGTGGCTTTCTTATGAGAAAAAATGTTCTGTGTCCTAAACAACTACCTGTTTGATACTTTAAGGAATACAGCCTCTTCGTAAGTTAGAGAGCTGTTGTATGAACCACTCAGCTGAAAGTTCGCATTTAAAATCTGTTAGAACAGTAATGGAAAAAAGAAGTGATCAACTAAAGTAATAAACCAGACTTGATGTAGTCAAGTTAAAATCGATCTCTGAATAAGACTGGGGCTTGAACTGTAAAACAAAATTTTTAGAAAAACCTGTAATGTTAAAAAGAAAAAAGAAAAAAAAAGAAAACTCTGTAACGATTATGTTTTTGATGCACTGTAGTGGGCTTTTCTTATATTTAGAAATGTTTTCAAAATGTGAAAAACCTTTCAGTAAGCTTTGAGCGTAATTTTTTCCTCTTTCGATAAGCTTTGAGTATGAGTTTTTTCCCCATTAGGAAACTTCAGAAGTCAGGGACTAGGATCCCTAGTTTCCACTGCCTTTCTGAAAGCAGTAACCTCAGTGTAGGGAAGGGGGGCAGTTGGAGTGAATGCCCCACCTACTTTTTCACAAACTTCCTGATAAAGGGTCTCCATCTTCCTAGAAATCAAAAACCCAGGAATCTCCCTCAGAGGAAATCAGAAACAGGTGGGAGGTTAGAGGCGCCACATTTGAAGCCAGCAGATGAGTGTGATGCTGTCCTATCTGAGATTATTGCAATCATAAGAAGGGAACTGATACTATTACATAGAGTCATAAAGGAAATGAAGAAGGGCTCCTTGTGGTTATTGCTACCTGGAACAGCTCTCTAAAGCGACAAGTGGTCAGCACCACATGGAGGTTGGCTTGGACCTGCAGGACGTGAGAGCCCATCTTTCTCTCTACAGAGCTGCGCTCCCATGTGTGATATGCACATGCGGGCACTGGTTTCCACTTGCAGATGTGCATACACTTGCACATACATAAAACAACAAGCAGTTATTTTATTTCCTTTATCTTTCTTAAGGAAAAGCAAGATAAATGCGATTCAGTTCTATTGACAGAACCTTCTGTATGACGAATTTGGTGGTTCTGGCAGATCACAGTGCCCCTTAAGAGCTGGTTTATTTCCCGCCTGTGTTAGCATGACTAACAGACGCATCATGCATCTAAACTTACAGCCTAATGAACTGCATTGTAGCCAGTTCTTTCTTCCTTTCATCTCCCTTTTTCAGTGGGCTGCTTTATCAGTTTTTCTACCTGCCGCTCTGACATTTGAAATCCCAAATGGTATTTGTGTGTGTAAGCAATGAAAGAAAACAAAAGAAAGAAGAAATATATACATACTTAGACATATATGTGCATATCCCCCAGATGGTCACCTGCAGAGTCTTCAGTATTCTATCAACCACAATGTTACCAAATTAGTATTTTTGCATCATGTTCATCAATGGCAGTGATTTCGAGAGGCAGCTTTACCATTTGGCTAATCAAAGTTAAATGTATCTTCTATTTCATTTTAATGTTCAGTGTGCCTTAGGTGAGGTTTTCTGTTGTTTCCTCTCTCTCTTTTTTTTCTAATTGATGGTCTGTGCTGTGCTTGATACATGAGAAATAAGAATGCACACTGTACCCAAATATTCCATTCTTCTTTATTCTGAGTCAGAGCTTCTCCTCTAAGGAAGGCCGAAATGTGCTAGAAGAAATCATCTACGGGCTACAGCACCAAAGACACTTCCACTTTAGACTTTTGTAGGTTATGAGAGTTGTAACCAATAACTCAATGGGGCCATAGAAGATCAGATTCCATGTGTAAATTTCTGTCAGTACTTGAATGATCACTTTTTTTATTTTTGCTAAGGTTGGCTCTCTTGATCCTATGTGCTTTTTCTTTCATGTAGTCCAGCAAAATTAAAAAAGGAAGCAAAGGAGACTGTACTGTGCTGAAGCCGACACTCATGGCAGCCGTTCCGGTGAGTACAGAACATGTATGTCCTTTATTGCTCACACTTGTACTTTTTAAAAAGACGATACCGTCAGGGGTTTGTGTACAGTTTTAAATAACTTTACTGGATTGAGATTGTGGCATATGTGTTCATTAAAATCTGAGATCAGCATTGGCAAACTTCTGACACATATGCCTGTTAGTGTTGTTGAAACCTGAAAATTGGTGATGAACATGACCTAGTTCAGATTACCTAGTGTGAGAAGTGGCCATAATATTTCAGAGGTTGAAGATATTCTAGATATCATTTTTGTTTAATCACAAATTTATTTTATTTTTATATTGAATATTTTAAAGTTTATTTTGAGAGGGAGAGTGTGCACATGCATGTGAGCATGAGTGAAGGAGGGGCAGAGATGGGAGAGAGAGAATCCCAAGCAGGCTCCACACTGACAACATGGAGCCTAATGCAGCACTTGAACTCACGGACCGTGAGATCAGGACCTGGGCCAAAGTTAGATGGTTAGTCGACTGAGCCACCCATGTGCCCATAATCACAAATTTTAAATAAACGAGGAAGCCTAGGTCATTCCAGGGAACTAAAGCACCATCTGCAAAGTTATAGAGCTGAGTCTCAAATGCAAGCCTCCTAACCCTAATGGTGACTAGGAAAACTGGCACTTGAGAGAGCTTCCAAAGAAAAAAGCTTAATTCTAGATGTTTAAAATCCTTATGTGAAATACTGCCTTTTACCAAAATAAGATGTTACAGTGTTTTTGGCCTTGTAAACATTTCACACAGTGTTTCAAATGTGCATAATCAAATATATTCTAGCACTTCTGGGCTTGGAAAGTCCAGCAGGACTGCATACCATGACTGCTGGTATTATGATCAGATTTTAAGTCTCATCCTAGTATCTCTCTCAGAATTATTTTTGTACATGGAAAATTGGAGATTGGATAATGAAGTGTTCAGTCACTTTGTTTTTTAAGCTTCTTATTACAAAATTACCAAATAACCAAAGAATTAAAAGACAGCAGAGTAGCCTTTGCCTTTTTATTTAGAGGTCCTGAAGAATTCAGCAAGTTTAGAAACAGAAGGAAGCTTCTGATTAAAGCATAATAAAATGATGCTAATGATAAGTACTACAGTACTTGCTGTTTTCAGAAACTGTGCTAAGGGCTTTAGATGGATTATCTGACTTAATCCTCCCTGAGACTCTGCTAGGTGGGTCCTGTTTTTCCGGTTTTATAAAGAAAAAATTTACCTGAGGTCACAGAGCCCACAGATGGGACAGTGTGAACTCTACCAGTCTGATCCCAGACTCTTCTTAATTACTGTGCCTGTCTGTTGACAATTGTGTTTGATGTTTTGAGAAATAATATTTTGGCTTTATTACCAAAAGTACAGGAGTCCCTAGTAAACCCTCTCAGAGAACATAGGGAAGGAAAAGGGCCAAGGACTGTGGGAAGCAATGTCTGAATTTAGGCCTGAGGGATAAGCAGGAGTTAGCGGATATGCTATGTATCTTCTAATTGCCCATGGTCCATTCTTCTTTACTTTGTGCCTTGGAAGGCTAACCTCTAATTACCAGGGCTTGCTTGCCTTCTGTTGGGTTCAGCCAATTACTGGCACTCAGAAGAGATCACAGGGCAGGGACGGGGAGGATCTGCATACTTATTGCCTTTGCTCTTTCCCTGTTGGGCTGCGATTTGGGGGCAATTGTCAAGCGTCCATTGAACAGTCTCTTTCCAGTTGACTGTAACCAGGTCTTGCCCATGGCTACAGTCTTTACCAAGTTCCAATAATACTTCTCTCCTCTTGGTTCTTCAGGCTTGAGAGTGGTAAACAGTCTCTCATATTGCTGGTCCATGGGTGCTTCACTGAACTTTGTTGGTTCCCTTAGCTCCTCCCCCTCCTGTAATAAATAAACAGGCCTTTTAAAAAATCTTTTTTTTACTGAAAATTGATAGATTATATTATCTGAGTTTGCTTCTTTCCTGGATCAGAATAAAAGATCCATTTAGTATTATATAGTCACATTTTCACAGAGTGAGAATTTAGAACAAATCACTGCTTTTTGTAAGCACTGACTCAACTAAACATCATGTAACATTACCTTGAAGTGAAGGGTGACTTACTGTGCTAACAATAAATCCTGCCAACTTGTTACAGACGTATTATTTGTGTTCCTTACTCATCAAGGCCTTTCTGTGCCCATGACTCTTATCTATTGGAAAGAGCAGTAGGGGTGGTTCGGTCACATCTGTCTCACTCCTGTAGGCTCTATTCACTTTCTTAAGAGGGATAGTTACAAGATATTAAAGTCCTTTTAGAGAAGTTTTGGAATTTCTCAGTCACAGATCTAGGCAAATATGTCAGTTACACAATAATGATTCCATCTGTGGAAAAGGACAGGACAACATTGTGCCAATCTTGAATGCTGTTGTAGGCCCTTCCACCCCCAGGAGCTTTATTGGAATTTAACTGATATAACATCATGTCAGTTTAGGGTATACAGTGATTTGATACATGTATATATTGTGAAATAATTACTATAATAATGTTAGTTAACGCACCCATTGCCTCACAAAGTTAACCATGTGTATGTGTGTGTGATGAGAACATTTAAGATCTATTCTTTTAGCAACTTTCAAATCTATAATACAGTCTTGTTAACTATAGTCCCCATGCTGTGCTAGACATTACTTCCCCTGGACTTGCTCATCTTCTGCTAATAAGTTTGTACCCTTGGACAAACATCTCCCTATTTCCCTCACCCCCTGGCTTCTTGCAATGACCAGTCTACTCTCTGATGCTAAGCTTGGCTGGTTTAGATTCTGTGTAGAAGTGAGAACATAAAGTACTTGTCTTTTTCTGTTTTACTTCTTTCCCATAGCATAATGCAAGAGATGGTTTTGCTGTCCTTATTTGTGAATGGCTCTATTTTGATATCGAAAGAGCCATTCATAAAGCTATTAGTTCATGGTAGCACAACTGAATTTCCACTAATTGCCACTTTAACTATTTAAAACTAGGTATTTATAAATAGATGTGCTTTATGCAATAATTCTTATTAATTTGTGCTTTACTCATTTCAAGAAAACATCATTTAGTGATGGTGTGGGCTTTTTTGCTTGTTTGTTTCAGAATTCTTTGTTGTTGTTGTTGCTGTTGTTGTTTTGTGTATTACTTTGGGAGTTACTATATCCCAAACCTATTCCTACTTTTAATTTTTCCAAGGAGCCATGAGAAAGAATCCTATTCATTTTTGTCATCTTAGCTTCTACTGAAAAGGAGTAGAAATGCCTAAATTACAGGGACATAAGAATTTTAAGAAACTCTAGAAAATTCTGTAGGATAACTCTTTAAATTTTTTTAATGTTTATTTTTGAGAGAGAGGTGGGGGGAGGGGCAGAGAGAGAGAGGGAGACAGAATCCCAAGCAGGCTCCATGCTATCACCGCAGAGCCCAATGTGGGGCTTGAACCCATAAACCGTGAGATCATGACCTAAGCCAAAACCAAGAGTCAGACGCCTTAACCAAATGAGCCACCCAGGCATACCTATAGGACAACTCTTTTAAGAAGCTGTATATCTGTATGCCATGCTCTATGAGTCACAAGGTAGCATTGAGAAAAACATTAGATTGGATTCAACTGTGTAGGTAAGCTTAATGTATAGAACCCAAAACTCTTATACTTGTCCCTAGTCTTTTTGAAATTGAACAAGTAAAGTCAGTGAAATTAATTATATAATAAACTAAATATATCCATTATACTAAAGACTTTGACCTAAGAGGTTGTAAACAAGGTATCTTCAACTAAGGACTGTCTCCATGTTAGGGTAATTCTTTTCAGATTATTGAATATTTTGCTTGCCTTTTAGGAAATCATGGATAGAATTTATAAGAATGTTATGAGCAAAGTCCAAGAGATGAATTATATCCAGAAAACACTGTTCAAGATAGGATATGATTACAAGTTGGAACAGATCAAAAAGGGATACGATGCACCGCTTTGCAATCTGTAAGTATATTTCATAGATTCCATAGTGTGAGCCTGTAAATCTCGTGTGTTTACATCTGGAAGATGAAGATGTAAATGGCAAGCTAATTTACTGTGGGCATCACCACCATCATCATAAGGTTGCATTTCCCTTTTATTCACTTCTAATCCTCATTGCTTCCACAGCAACCACAGACAGATGACCCTGAGCTCTGATCTTGGCAGTTAAACAGATTTTAATAATTGAGTAAATATTTAAGATTTAATTACAGAATTTGGTCTTATGAAGAAAAACTAGATTAGACTTTGGAATCAAGATGTTGTGAGTTTACAGAGGGTCAGTTCTGACGTAAATGATACTCAAGATTTTATTCTGTATGAAGGTTTCTGATTTGTATTCATAAAACAGTGTAATAAATATATGAACTTAACAGCTATTTTGTTGAATGTCTGTTTTTGAGAGAGAGACAGAAAGAGAGAGAGTGAGCAGGGGAGGATCAGAGAGAGTAATACAGGATCTGCAGCAGGCTCCAGGCTCTGAGCTCTCAGCACAGAGCCCGATGCGGAACTCGAACCCACAAACTGTGAGATCTGTGAGATCATGAGCTGAGTAGAACTCGGACACTCACTGACAGAGCCATCCAGGCACCCCAAACATAACAGCTATTTTAAATGTGGTGCTGGGGGTTGGAGATAGGGAAACATTTTTCATTAAAAGGGAGATAAGATTGGTAACTAAATGTTCTAAAGACAACTATACTTTTTTTTTTCCTTTGACATCATCATTTTCTTCATTTGCTGTATGTCAAAGCAATTTGCAAACACTGCACTCTTTTTTTTTTTTTTGCATTTTTAAGAGCCTTTCTGGCATTTTTAAAAATGGAAGTATAGTTGACACACAGTGTTCTCTTAGTTTCAGGTGGACAACATAGTGATCCGACCACTCTGTATGTTATGTTGTGCTCACCACAAGTGTAGCTACCATCTGTCATTTTCTGGCTTTTTTTTTTTTTTTTGTCAGAAGGTGTTATTAATTGTCGCTATGTGAACCTCTCATTAATTACCACCATGGTTCTGAAATGTAGGTGTCCAACCAAAGTTGAGAAATATTTCCCAGAGCTTATACATTAGGATGTGACCAAGCATAATGTATGCATGTATTCAAATTATTGCCTCCTGTGCTTTTCTCAAGGTTACTGTTTAAAAAGGTGAAGGCTTTGCTGGGAGGGAATGTCCGCATGATGCTGTCTGGTGGAGCTCCATTGTCTCCTCAGACGCATCGATTCATGAATGTCTGCTTCTGCTGCCCCGTGGGTCAGGGTTATGGACTGACGGAATCATGTGGTGCTGGGACAGTTACTGAAGGTAAGTACTGGTGATGTGGCAAATAATTCCATGTTAGTACCACTGATACTTATACCCTGTAAGTAATAACAGATTCGGTGGAAACCTGAATAGATTTAGTTTTAGAAACTTCCGGGTGAACGTTTACCCTTTATGTTTAAGCCTTGTCCATATTTATACCACCCTGTCAGTCCTCAAAATTCTGTCACCCTGGTCCTTTCATCTTTTCTGTCTAAACGATTATTTCCTTGGAGAACTGCACTCTTGGAAGAAAGTATCATTTTTATGCTCCCTCTTGAATGTATATTCCTGCTCTGACTTCTTGTTTTCTGTTATTTTCTTTTTATTTATTTATTTATTTTTTATTATTTTTTTTACAGATAGTTTATTGTCAAGTTGGTTTCCATATGAGCACCAGGTGTTTTCTGTTATTTTCAAAGCTTGATAGCAGGGTTTGTCAACTTTGGCACTATTGAAATTTTGAACCAGATAACTCTTTACTGGTGGGGCTTTCTTGTGCATTATAGGCTGTTTATCAGCCAGGTAGCTATCAGGAGTATCTTACTCCTCCCAGTTGTGGCAATGAAAGATAACTCAAAACATTACCAAATATCCCCCAAGGGGCAAAATCATCTCGGGTTGGGAAACGCTGGGGTAAGTAAGCGTTTTTGGATCATCCCACTTTCACTTTATACTCAATGCCCAAAATCAACACCATCATCCCAGACCATCTCTCCACCTGCCAGATGGTTAGTGACTGTGGTATTACCATCCTTAAAGCCATCCACAGCATTAGCTTTGAAGTCCTCTAATTGTTTATTTTTTAATCTCTTTAACTTCGATCACATCTTCCCATTTATTCATTGGACTGTTCCCTCACACCTCTCTCAGGTAACAGCCTTTCAACAGCCATGCCTGCCTCTCTTGTATCACTTCTGATAGATCCTGTATACTTCTGTTAGATATCTCTACCTCCAACATTGCTTCAGCCCTGGCCGACCTAACTTCCAGACATTGTTCCCATCCGTCATTATTTTCCATTATTTCGCGTGCGTGCACACACACACACACACACACACACACACACACGGCTCCACTTTCCGGGTGAGTCATTCTGGTGCCATTGTTCTCATCCGTCATTATTTTCCATTATTTCACACCTGGCTCCACTTTCTGGGCGAGCCAGTCTGGTGCCATTGTTCCCATCCGTCATTATTTTCCATTAAAACACACACATAACACACACACACACACACACACACACACCCTACCTACCTACCTACCTACCTACCTACCTACCTACCTACCTTTACTTTCCGGCGAGCCAGTCTTTGCTTTCTCCTACAGGCATTTTTGCTCTCACCTCTCTGTATTTTCTGTTTCCTTCTCTTAGAATACCCCTTTTGCTAACTGGTCACAGCCACCTTTTAACACCCAGCTCTTCAATTAAGTCTTTCCCAGTGATTTCATTTCACATTGATCTTTCTAGTCCCTGAGGTACGGTTGTGCGCACTTCTGGTACCATGCAATTGGGTATTTAAATGTGCTCGAAGTTTTTTCACATGCATTTTGTGTCAGGTAGTTTGTTTGTAAGCTCATTGAGGACACAGTCTCCTTATCCTTTATGTGTTTCCACCTTTCAGTGTTTAATATAATGCTAGGTACATTATAGGGTATCTCTAAATACTTGATTATTGATAGCAGCACTTACAAATTACAAAAGGAGAATATCATCATCATCCTATTTGGTAATAGCAGCTAACATTTATTGAAAACTTAGTTTGTGCCAAGAAGCATTAAGTGCCATCCATGCATCATCTCATTGAATCCCTATAGCATATCCCTATAAGAAGTAGGTTTTCTTACTCTCCCCCCTTAATAGATGGGGAAATGGAGGCCTAGTGGCATTAACTAATTTGTCCAAGTTACACAGCGAGTGGAAGAGAAGGAATTCCAATCCAAATCTGTCTTATTGGAATCTTAAGTAGATAATGGTAGGGGCAGCTCTCCTACTTTCACAGAGATTTTTGTACTTATCTGAAATAGAGCCCGTGAGAAGCAAAAGTGATGTAACAACACTGGTACTGATTGCACTGTTGAAATAGAGTTGAAATATTGAAACATGGTCACACTTTGCACTGCACTCGCGATGGCCTGTCTTTTATCATCTGAGACTCTGATTCTAACTCCAACATCCCTGGTCTCCCATGGGCATGAGTCTGAAATATGGTATGCTCATATCTTTCTCGCATTTTCCTCCTAGTTACGGACTATACTACTGGCAGAGTTGGAGCCCCTCTTATTTGCTGTGAAATTAAGCTGAAAGACTGGCAGGAAGGTAAGAATTTTATGACCAGCTTTACTGATTCTAGATACACTGAAAACCACCAGGAGCCCCAAGACATCCAGTCTTTAAAGTGTTAGCTCGTCTGTGGTAGCAAGTGACTCTGCTGTTGCTGGTTCCCAGTGCTTTCTTTTCCTCAGTAGCATCTTCTGGTTCCCAAAGGAAAAGAAAATCTCTAGAATCTAGGCATGATGATTCTGAACTTGAGAATACTTGATGGTAAAGAGGAAGAACATTCTTAGTGGGGCATTCCCTAGGTTTGGAGAAGGACGTATATCATATGTTGACTTTGCTAGTGAGGATATTTGGGCCCGGAAATGAAACCCCAGATTTTTATGGGATGGAGCGACTGAATGATCACACACACGTTCCCCAACCTCTTAGCTCTTTCACAGATGAGACTCAGTTCTCAGGCCATTTATATATTTTATATTTAACTGCAAATGGAAGCCTGCCATTTATGGACGTTGGTGATAATCCTTTTTATAAATCAGCCAGAGACAGAAGTAAACCAGTATTCCTGATGAAACTGTGAAAAATACTAAATGTGTTGCACTAACTGCAAAATAATGAATAACTGCAAAATATCTTGCCAGATAAAGGAAAAGTGATTAAAAAGCTTAAGATTTTAGGGGCACCTGGGTGGCTTAGTTGGTTAAGCGTCCAACTCTTTTTTCATATATATATTTTATTTCTAAGAGAGTGAGAGAGACAGCGTGAGCAGGGGAGGGTCAGAGAGAGGGGGAGACACAGACTCTGAAATAGGCTCCAGGCTCTGAGCTGGCAGTCAGCACAGACCCCGACGTGGGGCTCGAACCCACAGACCGCGAGATCATGACCTAAGCGAAAGTCGGATGCTTAACCGACTAAGCCACCCAGGCGCCCCAAGTGTCCAACTCTTGATCTGGACTCAAGTCATGATCTCACAGTTCAGGAGTTCAAGCCCCACATGGGGCTCTGTGCTGACAGTGCAGAGACTGCTTGGAATTCTCTCTCTGCCCCTCACCAACTTGTACTCTCTCTCTGTCTATCAAAACAAATAAACTTAAAAGGGAGTGTTCATCATTGAATGGAGCCATAGGCTAAAAATTTAAAGGACCAGTTAGTTACCTTCTAGAATAATTCCCTTAGGTTGTTCAAACCCAAGACCCATGGGTGGGCTGTATTTGACATACACTTGGAGTTCCTAAAAGTATTTCTTCTCTGTAACTTTCTTACTATGTGCATTATTGTCAGTGCTCCAAGAACAAATGACTCTTTCTTTCTTTTTGTTATTTTTATTTTATTTTATTTTATTTTACTTTTGAGAGAGAGAATGTGAGTGCTGGAGGGTCAAAGAGAGGAGGACAGAGGATTCAAAGTGAGCTCTGTGCTGAGAGCAGACAGCCTGATGTGGGGCTCGAACCCACAAACTATGAGATCATAACCTGAGCTGATGTCAGACACTAATCTGAGCCACCCAGGTGCCCTACGACGACTTCTTTTTAAAAACTACATTTAAAATCCAGTTGCATTCCCAAGATTTTTACATCCTCAGACTAAGTCCTTCTGTCTCCCATGGTAATGCTGTTCCACTTTTAGGATAAAAATCTGAAGACATCATAGGCAATATATGTCTGGGTGTGTTGAGCCCCAGCACCACAACTGTTTCATTAGATGGGCTATTTATTAGACAGTGAAATCAGAGAAAGAGGGTATATTGTACAACTTGGTAAGGCAGATTTTGCCTCTAGTTTTTATTTTTGATTTTCTGTTATTGTGCTATAATATCAGTTTGGGGGAGTGGGCCATTTTTGGATATGTCTCTGGAGTTTTCCTCGCTATCAGGGAAATTTTGTTTTATATAATAGGAATGATCTTAATATTTTACATGTAATGGATTTCATCATATTGAAATACTGAATAGTTGAAAAATTTTAAGAGCAACTAACAGCTGAAAGGACTCTGCTTTAATTCTTTTACAAGTTAAAACCTAGGGGCGCCTGGGTGGCTCAGTTGGTTAAGCATCCAAATTCTGCTCAGGTCCTTATCTTGTGGTTCATGAGTTCAAGTCCCACATTGGGCTCTGTGCTAACAGCTCAGCCTGGAACCTGCCTCAGATTTTATGTCTCCCTCTTTCTCTGCCTCTCCCTTCTCACACTCTGTCTCCCTCTCTTTCTTTCTTAAAAATAAACATTAAAAAATTAAAAATAAATAAAACAAAACTTAATTAACATCTGTTTATGAGTTCAAATTTTTGTATATTTCCCTCAAATTAAGCTTTATTCAATAATAAATAGGTAATGAGTAGTTTTAAAATATTTTAGAGCTATTGTCAGTTATTTCACTGTTTTAAAGTCGTGACTGGCTGGGGTGCTTGCGTGGCTCAGTCGGTTAGACATCCAACTTTGGCTCAGGTCATGATCTCATGGTTTGTGGGTTCAAACCCTGCGTTGGGCCCTGTGCTGACAGCTTGGAGCCTGGAGCCTGCTTCAGATTCTGTGTCTCCCTTTCTCTTTGTTCATCTCCCACTCGCACTCTGTCTCTCTTTCTCTCTCAAAAATAAATAAAAAGATTTTTTAAAAAAGTCTAAAGTCATGAATGGCCATAGGCAAAGTTAAGAAAATATAGTTTTGCTCCTGTTTCCTCTAGCCTCCCTTTCCCTCTCTCTTCATGGTGTTGTCTTTGGTAGACACTTCCTACCTGCTCTCTTGTATTAAAACCTCCTTAATGTTTTAATTTTTTTTTTCATTTTTGAGAAAGAGAGAGCACGAGCGAGTGAGCACGAGAGGGGGAGGGGCAGAGAGGGATACAGGATCCAAAGCGAATTTGGTGCTGACATCAGAGATCCCAATGCAGGGGTCACACTCCCAAACCGTGAGATCATGACCTGAGCCAAATTCAGACACTTAACCAGCTGAGTCACCCAGGCACCCCTGTATTAAAACCTCTTTAGAAAAAAATCTGAAATGTATTGATATCAGCATATTAGTAGTTTACTTATAACAGCTTCAAATGTTACCCTTTTTGGGGGTAATTTTATCTTAACAGAGCTCTATGAACCCCAAGCTTCAGTGATGTTCTAAGTGTGAAATTTTACGGTCATTGGGAAAGTTTGGGATGGGTGGTGGTTGGCTATTATCATTGAGCCTTCCTCGGTACTCCCCAGATTACGGTTACCCACAATCCTCATGTCAGTGTGAATGCATGTAAACTAATATTCTCCCAAAGAGTAACAAATTTGACTCACAGAAAAATATTAGCATGGGAGTGTTAAGAATGAATGCAAGTGCATTTTTTTTAGAACAATAACTAATTTAATGGCTTCCAGGTGGTTACACAATTCATGACAAGCCAAACCCCAGAGGGGAAATCGTAATTGGTGGACAGAATATCTCCATGGGGTATTTTAAAAATGAAGAGAAAACAGCAGAAGATTACTCTGTGGATGAAAATGGCCAAAGGTGGTTTTGCACTGGTGATATTGGAGAATTTCATCCTGATGGATGTTTACAGATTATAGGTCAGTATATTCTCTTTCTGTCAGAAAACAAAAATTGTTCAAAAGAGGTATTTTTTATTTTTGGTCAACTACACGTGGTACTGTATAACCATCTACTGTAACATGCCCCATTTTAGGCATTCCTCACCATTTTCCTCCATATCCAAGAGGCAGTGTGGACACATTACATTCCCTAGTAGCTATTGATATGGCTCCAGGTATCCTTGGACCTTAGGAAATCATAAATCCTCAACAGCAATCTGTTCTTCTGAGAATGTCAATTGGTTTGGCACTGCCCTCACTGAGCCTAATAGACTTTGAACTCCAAAATAGCCCTCTGCTATTCACTTTAATCAGAAAATAGCTAAAATAAAAATTTGACTAGCTTGCTAGGAAGGACCACTTGGTAGGGTCCCAGTCAGGTCCTTTGCAAGCCATAGAATGTCCTCAGTCATATCTCTAGTGGTCCATTTAAATCTCTCTGGACCCGTACCTGACCTGAATGTAGTTAAAGACTTCCTGGGAAAATTCGTTCTTCATCCAGAAGTTTGATCTGCCCCCAACGTTTTTTTTTCTTTGATCCTTAATTGCAATGGATTCAAAGGTGGGTTTCTGTCGACATGTAGAGTAGGTTCCCAGACTACGGGTAGGCAAGTCAGCATTCATATGAAAGTTGTAAGGCCGCTGATGATTATTCAAGCTGTGCCATCCATTCCAGAACTTTCTTTCTTAGAGCACTGTCATTTTAATAAGGTAATGTCAAATAAGGAAAATGGGGAATTAACATTTATTAACCATGTTCTGTATGCTAGACATTGTCCTCTATGCTTGTATGAGGTAGGTGTCAGTATCTCTGATAAAACTGAGGGTTGGAGAGGTCAACTGACCTGCCCAGGATCACATAGCTTATAATGGGCAGAGCTGTCATTTAAAATCTAATGCTCCAAGATCCTGTCCCCTCCATTAACTTTATCATATTTAAGATTATAGTAAGATTCTGAGCATTCTGTATGGGGTATAACATTTTAGCTAGTACTTCCTCAGCTAGGTGTTTTCGTTGTAATGGATGTGCATGGACAAGCATTATTCTATAACACGATTTTAGAAGAAGTATCTGTTTAAAGATTAAGGCAATGAGATTGAGGGGAAATCGGAATTGTGCATATCTTAATGAAATGGAGTGGATAACTTACCATTCATTCTTCATGACTTCTAGATCGTAAGAAAGATCTGGTGAAGTTACAAGCAGGAGAATATGTATCCCTTGGGAAAGTAGAAGCTGCCTTGAAGAACTGTCCACTTATAGACAACATCTGTGCTTTTGCCAAAAGGTAATTTTAAAAGCTGCATTTGTGTCTCCTATTCTTCCAGTAAAAGGATGATTGGAAAAATATTGTGATTACGTATAATTTTAAGGGAAACAATAAAATTTCATCAGCATCGGGGAATGTTATGCATTTCTGAAAGTTCAGCAGCTTAAAGATCATTTGAGATGATTGAGATGTTTTAACTAATTATTGGACACCTACTGTGTCTTGCTAAGTATTTAGCTATGCCACAACACTTCATTCAACATCCTTAACAACTGAGACATAACACAAGTAATTTTCCTAAGAAGTTAACACAGCTAGTCCAAGTTTTTCTAAATCAGAAACCTAAGCGGTTGGACCATTTTCTTTACATGTTAATATGGCTTTTTGTTTTTTGTTTTTAATATAGTTTATTGTCAAGTTATTTTCCATATAACACCCAGTACTCATCCCAATATATGGGCTTTATTAACACCCTTTAAGAAATGTAACTGTAAAAAACACGAAATATAAAGATTAGCATCTTAACCATTTCTAAGTGTATAGTTGGCTAGTGTTAAGTATATTCACATTGTTGTGCATTCATTATCTAGAACTTTCTATCTTGCAGAACTGGAACTCTCTATCCATTAAACAACTCACCGTTTTCCCTGGCTGCAGCCCCTGGCAGCCACCATTCTCCTTTCTATTTCTGTGCATGTGACTACTCTGGATACCTCATATAAATAGAATCATTACGGTATTTGTCTTTTTTGTGACTGGCTTATTTCACTTAGCATAATGTCCTCAGGGTTGTATATGGAAGAATTTCCTTTCTTTTTACGGCTAAATAATATTCCATATTTTCTGTATCCATCCATCAATGGACAACTTTGCTTGCTTCCACCTCTTGACTACTGTGAATAATACTGCTATGAACATGGATATACAAATATCTCTTCAAGATCCTACTTTCAGTTCTTTTGGATATATATCCAGATGTGGGATCGTTGGATCATAGGGCAGTTCTATTTTTAATTTTTGAGAAACCACCATACTGTTTTCCATAGCAGCAGCACCATCTTTACCCTCTCACCAGCAGTGTGCAAGTGTTCTAATTCCTCCACATCCTCACCAACACTTGTTTCTAGGTTTTGGATAGTCATCATAGTGGGTGCGAGTAGGTATCTCCCCACTATTGATTAGTGATGTGGAGCATCTTTTCATATGCTTGATGGCCATTTGCATGTCACCTCTGGAGAAATGTCAAGTCCTTTGCTCATTAAAAATTTTTTCTCTCATTTTCAGTTATACAATATAGTGTTCTCCACTGTAGTCCCCATGTTTTTACATTAGATCCTCAGGCCCTATTTGTCTTATATCTGAATGTTGGTACCCTTTTATTAACCTGTCCCTATATCCTCTAACCCCTGGCAACCAGTTTTCTACTTGGTTTCTAGGAGTTTGACATTTTTTCTTCCTTTTTAAAATATTTTACATATAAGTGATACCATGCAGTATTTGTCTTTCCCTGTCTGGTTTATCTCATTTAGTATAATGCCCTCTGAGTTCATCCATGTTGTCTCAAATGGCAGAATTTTCTTCTTTCCCATAACTGATGATATTCCCTTGTATATATATATCCCACATCTGATGAGCACAGGTTGTTTCCATACCTTGGCTACTGTGACTGATGCTGCAGTGAACACTTGTAATCTCTTGTGTTTTTGATGATAGCCAACCTAATGGTTGTGAGGTAGTAACTCATCGTGGTTTTAATTTGCATTTATCTCCCTGATAATGAATGATGTTGAGCATCTTTTTGTATGCCTGTTGGCCACTTGTATGTCTTCTTTGGAAAAATGTCTGTTTGGTTTCTCTGCCCATTTTTTAATTGATTTTTTTCTGCTCTTGGATTATAGGACTTCTTCATATATTTTGGATATTAACCCTTTATCAGATATATGTCTTCAAATATTTCCTCCCATTCCGTAGGTTGCCTTTTCATTGTGCTGATGGTTTCCTTTGCTGTGCAGAGCTCTTTAGTTTGATATAGTCCCACTTGTTTATTTTTGCTTTTGTTGCCTTTGTTTTTGGTGTCAAATCCAACAATACACATTGTTGAGACTGATGTCAAGGGAGCTTACTCCCTGTGTGTTCCTTTAGGAGTTTTATAGTTTCAGGTCTTTGTCCACTTTTTAATTGGGTTATTTGGGGGGTTTTGTTGTTATTGAGTTATAGGAGTTCTTTTTATATTCTAGATAGTAACCTCTTATCAGATATATGACTCACCAATATTTTCTCCAATTCCATAAATTGACATTTCACACTGTTGACTATGTCCTTCAATAACAGAAATTTTAAATTTGTATTGTACCCCCGTTTATCAATTTTTTCTTTTGTTGTCTTTGCTTTTGGTGTTATATCTGAAAAAGCATTGTCAAATCCAATGTCATGAATCTTCCCTGTGCTTTCTTCTAGATGCTTTATAATTTTAGCTCTTATGTGTTTAGTTCCTTGATCCATTTTGAGTTAATTTTTGTATGCACTATGGGCTAAGGGTCCAACTTCATTCCTTTGCATATGGATATCCAATTCTCTCAACACCATTTGTTGAAGAAACTGTGCTTTCCCCCATTGGGTTGTGATGGCACTCTTCTTGAAGATCATTTATCCATACATGCAAGGATTTATTCCTGGGCTCTCTGTTCTATTCCATTGGTTAAATGTCTGTCTTTATGCCAGGACCATAGGTTTTATTACTTCTTAATGAAGCTGTAACACATAAGAGAAATATGTATTTGGAATTATGTGTACTGGTCCTATTCAATAAGTTATAAATAACTTTTCTCAATGTTTTAATTTCTATTTTGTGTTGTTTTTTAGTGATCAGTCCTATGTGATTAGTTTTGTGGTTCCTAATCAGAAAAGGCTGACACTTTTGGCACAACAGAAAGGAGTGGAAGGAACTTGGGTCGATATCTGCAATAACCCTGCCATGGAAGCTGAAATACTGAAAGAAATTAGAGAAGCTGCCAATGCCAGTAAGTAAGAAATCACTTGTCTTTTGAAGTCCCTGGAAGTCATTTAATGGTGTCTTGTGCACTAGGCTCCTTGAGATGTCTGTTTATTTGTTTTAATAATAAAATAGAGGGTTTTAAAAACCTGCCTCTTGGAAAAAATTCTATATACACATATATATTATAGTAAACATATAAAAACATATATAAGTAAATGTATGTTGGAAAGATCCTTAAATGTCATAGAGTAGAATAACCTATCTAGTACTTTATTGCATGTTACAACATCACTGCTAACTGGTCACCTAGCTAGTCTGTGCTCGGAAGGGTCAATCTTTGTTCTGATAGTTCACGATGAGGTGCCCTGGTGTAGATCTCTTACCATTTATCATTGTGGATACTAACTTGGCACAGGCCCCTTCAACCTAGAGATCTCTGCCCTTCAGTTCTGGGAAATATCCATTTATCTTTTGTTTTGTTTTGTTTTCTTGCTCTTCTTTTTATACTTTTTCCCCATCCAAGTTCTGCGTGTGTGCCTTTATCTGGAACTATGTTTCTGGGACTGTTTGACCTCCTGCCTTCATCCTCTGGTTTTATTATCTTTTTTTTTTCTTTTGTTTTCTATCTAATCCTTTTTGTTTCACATTCTGGCATAGTCCCTCCAAACCATTTTTAATGTTTATTTTTGAGAGACAAAGTATGAGTGGGGAGGGGCAGAGAAAGAGGGAGACACAGAATCTGAAACAGGCTCCAAGATCTGAGTTGTCAGCACAGAGCCTGATGTGGGACTCGAACTCATGATCTGTGAGTTTTATTCCCTCCTTTACTGAGCTTTACTCCCTCCTTCTGTTGAGGGAGTCTGACTGAACTGAAGTCATATGCTTAACCGACTGAGCCACCCAGGCGCCCCCAGAGTCCCTCCACTTTATCACGTCTTCTGGCTTCTGTGTTTCCCATTTCCAGTATCAGAATTTTAATTTTCAAGAGCTTGTTCCCATTTCTTCTATGTTCTATTCATAGCACCCTGTTGCTCTTTCATGAATGCAGTCAGTGTGTTGTCTCTTATTCCTTTGAGGATGTTCAAGGGAGTCCTTTTATGAAGGATTCTTCTCCTGTTATTGCGTATCTCCTCCAAGTTCCACTTCCTGCTTGCTTTGGTCACAGCCTCTCCTATATCTGCAATCCTTATCTTTCCATTCCTATTTGAGAATAAGGCACTAAAATACTGTTTGGAAAGCTTACTGGGCTTTACCGACAGGGTATTCAGATGTTGGTGTCTTGAGTCATTCCATTCCTGCAAAGAAGACTTCTTCAGTCCCTTGCCTAGAGAATATTAGTCTGACTGCCTATTCTGGTAGCCAAAAAGAGGAAATTGGAATGGAACTGGGGACACGGTGGGCAGCTCTTACCCCCACAGCATGCTTTTCTTCTCAGCTTTACTCCCTCCTTCTGTTGTACCTAGTATCCTGGAGTCCAGAGTCTCTCTAGGTCAGCTTTTCCAAAAAGAAAACCTATCTTTACCCCAGTTGGGGAAGAGCAGGATCAGGGAGAAGAACTGTCCTCTGAGCAGGCTGAGGGCCAACACTCTTTCTGCAGCATATCCCCCATCTCTGTCTTCAGAAGCATGGGCTCAAGGGGGTCCATTTGTCTCTCGTCAGTGTCCTCTGTTGGCTGTTAGCTTTTAGCTCTCTCGGCTCCCCATCAGTTACCACTAGTCGCTTGCTTTAGGTCTTCCAAAATGTTGTTGTGCTCTCATCCAGTGTCCTCTTTCTCTCCGTTCAGCTGTTTCATTGTGGTTAATATCTTTTTCATTTTAAAAATTATTTTAAACTGTTTAAATGATTTTCCAAGGGGAACGTAGAGAAACTGAACTCTTCATGTTTAATTGGAGGTTGTTAACCTCATTTTTTTTTGAGAGAGAGAGAGAACACAAGTGAGTTTGGGGCAGAGAGAAAATTGGGACTCACCTAAAGCGGGGTTGGAGGTCACCTGAAGTGATGCTCAAACTCACGAATCGTGAGATCATGATCTGAGCTGAAACCAAGTATCGGACGCTTAACTGACTGAGCCACCCAGGTACCCCAATAAATTTTCTTTTTAAATTAACCTAGTTTTTAACCTTATTGCTTCCCCTCCTAAAAAGTGAAAATATCATGTTCTATTTAAGTTATATATATATATATATATATTCATTGTACGATGCTGGATAGTACAGAAAATTATAAAGGGGGAAGTAAAAAACATGTAATAACTACTGGGTGGAAGTTGAAAACCTATTTTTCCCCAAAAAGAACATGCTTGTAGTTAACTGTGGACACTGTAAAGTTTTAAATAACAGAAGCCTGTTAACATAATCAGATCGAAAAGTAAGTTACTTTATGACCATAATGACAGCAGCTTACTGCTTTTTTCCTTAAAGATGGCTTTCTCAGTTATAGTATTGTTGATATATCATAGTTTTTATATTTTTATCACCTGGCTACCAGAATTTTTTTAATGTAGTATTTCAAAAAGTATTCACCAGATAAGCTGTTATTCTTAGTCCCCCCCTGAATGTACTAATGGGTAAAATGCAACTTGATTAATTTGTCATTGTGCATTTCACCATATAAAAGCAATAATCGGGAAAGTCAACCTGGATCCCAATCAGGCGAAAAATGGAATAAAGTTTAGGACTTGTGGGGCCCCATAACTTTCCTAGACTGAGGCATGAAATCGAACAATCAATGATTTGGAAAATATACAATAATCATGAGCGTAAGTGTATAAATCTTAGTTTTTCTGTGCATGAAAGATTTATCTTGCCAACCTTTTACTTCCAATTATAATTTCAGAGACTTAATGCAAAAAAGTATAAAATAGTCTTGATTGTGTTCGGCTAAATCTGCCTGAGAGCATACATCTTTTTATAGTGAGCCTCTTCACGTTTTAAATTGAATTGTGAGGTCTGCAACCAAACCCAAATTTTGTATGCCCCGTCATGCAGCAAAGCCAATCATGAGACATTGAGTATGCAGCAAGGAAAGGGTTTATTCAAGAGGCAGCCAAACAGGGAGACAGAAGGGCAAGCCTCAAATCCACCTTCCCAAAGGGGGACAGGACAAGGTTTTCTGGTTGGTTTTTGTTGCTTTTGTTTTCATTTAAATAATCATAGTGGCTGGGAATACATACATATTGATCAAAAGGGTGGGGAGACTTATGATTCTTAATGAGGATAGATGGACCTTGCACATTTGGCAAACATACATGTAATTTACATCCCATGTTCACTTTGGCGTATAGACTTACCACTAAAAGGAGACAAAATTTGGTCCCTGCATTCAGGAGGTCCTCATAGGGCAACGTGAGGGTCTAGGTGCATGCTCTGTGAGCCAGTATAAACTGGATTGAGTGTTGAGATCATTATCTCTGAGAAGGAATGCAGAGCTTTGCTTGTTCACAGACTGGAACCATATCTGTGACCTTCAGTTTATGCCTCTGCAGAGACATCTAGTGGATTTGCTAGTGGGGTCTGGAAAGAAACCATGGCTGATTTGGAAGAAAACAGGTCTCGGAAAAACAAACTTTAAATTTCCTTTTAGTTTCAACCTCATTAACCTTATGGGCATGGTTTCACTCTCTCTTGTGTCTTGAAGGAGTTGGGACAGTGACCACTCTGGCTACTTCCTGCTGCAAAAGGGCACAGTTTCTGGATTTGAGGAGTGAAGCAACTTTGTGCCCCTTTAGAAATATTCCCTGGTACTTGGCTTAACGTGTACATTTGGCATGACCAAAATATCAGTTCCTTTTTTCATTGTTTTGGAACAAAATTGGAAAGCATATTTGATTATTACATTATCTAATTAATGTAAAGTATAAATAACCCAAATTTTATTAGTCCCTGTAACACTGACCTGATCCCTTAAGAAATCCAGGGAAAGAGTCCAGTAAACCAAATCAATTTCTCTAGAACTCTCTGGGGAAACTTACCGTATCCAAGTGGCTTACTCTCTGATTTTATCTGAATGAGTTTGTTCTTAATCAGAAGCATTATATAAACACCACGTTGTGTTAGCACTGGCACTCTCTTACCCTGTTTTGCAAGTATAATCCAAAGCAGTGTGCTTATCAAACACTCCCTTGGCTAACACGTTTATTTTCTTTTTTGTTGGGCAACAACGACAAGAGCAGTTTTGTTGGCAAGCATGCCTAAGGTGATAGAAAGATTCTTGATGATGAGCCCTGATTCCCCTCCAGGGTAAAAATGCTCTCCCAGACAGATGTCAAAATCTGTCCTCTTCGTAACCCTGCAGGTAACTCCCATCTGGTCTCCGTTCCCTTTGTGTTTGATAAAAAGGGTTAAGAGGATTGGTACAATAACTGGTTTCATTGCGATTGCAAATAGAGGAAGGGTAACCAAATTTTTTAATAAGTAGATTTGTTTTGGGGAGCCTGGGTGGCTCGATAGGTTAAGCATCCAACTTCGGCTCAGGTCATGATCTCGCAGTTCGTGAGTTTGAGCCCCGCGTCCAGCTCTGTGCTGACAGCTCAGAGCCTGGAGTCAGCTTCGGGCTGAATTGTTGAAAGTCTTTTTTATGAGTCTCAGGATGAAACACATTTGCAGGATGCTTTTGAAAAAGTATCTGAATAAAAGTATAACTGTCTGTAAATGATAAAAGACATAATAATTTGCCATGGTTAAAAATCTGATAAGAGTTTATTATAATGCAATTGACAAGCAAACTTGGTTATTTCTGCAACACATAAAATTTCAATAATCAGAATTACAAGTGACGATATTATACCAAGACGTATCAAGACCTTAGGAATTTTATATAATTTCTGAAACAGTCATAATATGTATCTACACAATATAGCCTAAGAAAGTTTATCAGCACTTATTTGACAATGATTCTGATGTAATTTGACATACCAAATAAATAAGCCTAATTAGTTGAGAAGACTTCATTTACAATTTGAATTTGGGGAAGTTTGTCAAAAATATCAGAACATTTTATTTTTATTTATTTAGTTTTTTAAAAGGT